TTTTTTTTTTTTGGTACCGGGGATTGAACTCCGGTTCTTCCGCTTGCGCAGCAGGTGGTGAAACCACTGAGCTAAATCCCCGGCCCTGTACCATATATTTTATACCTTACATATATGTATAAAGTTGAGGAGATTTTCATTGTTTTAGATAAAGCCATTGCTTAAACTAATTTTAATTATATCCGTTGTGCATAAATTATGATAACAAAATTTCATTTATCTTTTAAAAGTAGAATACAAACAGACAAATAACATTTTCCTGTTTTTGTTGTATTCTGCCCTTCCTTAGATTCTTTATTCATCTGGGAAGATCTACATGATATTTTTTGTTGTGGTTACTGTTTGGTTCGCCTTTTATATGGCAAGTTTGTTCTTAGGCATACTTTCTATGGCCTATGAAAAGGAAAAGCAGACAGCTTCTGAAAAAACTGAGATTGAACCAAAATTGCAACAAACTATAAAAGCACTTCAAGAAGGAAATGAAGCAGCTGAGGTATGATTTCTTGATGTTTCTTAGAATTATATTTCTAGAGGTTCTGTCTCAAGAACTTGGAGCATATTACATTCTGATAGAGGCTTATATGTATGTGGTACATGAGTAAAACTATTCTAATAACAGGAGTCTTAATATACGGTGGTAAGAATGACCAATATGTTTAAATATTTAATGTGTACAATTTTTTCCAAAATTTATATTGCTATTGCTGATAAACTATGAATATGACTTTAGAATTGATTTCTCCTAATACAGGTATATTTTATTAATTCACACTTGCATCAGATAACACACCAGAATTAACTTTGGAAATGGTTGGTTATTCAACTCTAAAGTAATGGTACTTTCCCTAATTTAGAAGTGATGAATTACCAAAAGAATGGATGAAAGAACATTAGTAGCATTATAAAAAAGAAGAAAGCATGTATTGATTTCCTAATTCCTTCAACAGGATGTACACTGTGCATGATATGTAGGAAATTATTTTACCTATAGAATATTCAAATCCATGATTAGTAAAAACGTCAACACTTTCCTATAATTTCAATTATCCTAATGTTATGTTTGAATCCTTTTACAGATTACGATCGTCATGTGAAAAGGTTCACTAAGTGAATCTGAAAGTAATGACAGAAGTAACAGTAAGGAAGTTGTAGAAAATCATTTTTAAAAATTAAATTGTGGTGTAAGAGTGATAAATGGAACTTTTCTCAACTTCTTTGAACTATTTTAATAGTAGATGGGAATAGAAAGGAACCATATTTGAGAACCCTTACATATAAAAAGAAAAATAAAAGGAATGGGGAAATGTAAAGGGCCAACACACATTCCAACACTGAATAAAATACCTAGGAACATTAGCTGAGGGGTTCATTAATACCAAAGGTCTCTTCTGAGGCAAAAAGGGAAGGAAATCTTAACTCCTCATATAATCATTTCATTAAATTATGGTCAATGAAAAGTTTTCAGAAATCACTGTACCAACAAGTGGAGCCTAAATGGTATAACAGGGTCTTGCCCATGACTTTATACTTGTGTTCATGACATACATATCATTGGGCAAGAAGTAATTATGGACTACATGAAGGAAACGTGTAAAAGAGACTATTGTCTCTCATGGCTGAGTTATGGAAAAACAAATTACAAAAGCTTTCTGTCTCCAGAAATGAGTAGGGGTCCTTCAAATTAAATGATTAGGTTTGAATGATATGTTGAATGTGTAATTTGTTCTCAAGTGGCATTTCAGAAGCTCAAGGGCTGTGACTACTCACAAACATCTCCTAGAGTATAATAGTTCTCTTATTTTAAGATGAAATGCTTTATTAGCACTGACCTTGAAAGAATTTCAGTATTTCCCATTATCTCTTTTCACTTTGCTATTTGGATCACATAAAGCTTTCTTGATTTTAATTAAACTCTTTCAGTTATAAAGAACTTCTTTTCCTGGAAGAGCCCTAGAACATTTTGTCATGTGGAGATTTTTTGGAAATGAGATTAAAAAGCATCCTCATGAATGTATAAACCTTTACACACATAATAGAATGGGAAATATTGAGGGCTTTTTAAGTGATTGATGTGATTAAAGACCAGTCAGATTACATTTCCAATGCTGGAATTAGAGGGAGATAGCTTAGATGCATCATATTCTCATATTATGGGACAGTTATAGATTATATTTGCTAAAAGCACCAGGTAACTAGTTACCTGCAGTCAGATAACTATAGATTTCAGTCTATTTTAGCCATGTAATATATGTATGATATTTGGAAATTTATTAACTGTGCTAAACCTCAGATTTTATTCTGAAAAATTTATAAAATTATAGTACTTGTTGTACATTGTTTCAAGCCCAAATGAAACATGTGTAAAGCATCTTTTAATACTCAGAATAAACTAAGCACTTGAAAAAATATTAAATATATGAATAAAATTGTCATATATGAGAATTACACCTCATATTAAAGATACCTTTTACCCAAACTATCACATGCAATTGTCCACACTAAGAACTTTTGATCTTTATAGAAAAGTTTGTCTTTGAATAGCCTTACATTGCAGATATTTCATAACCATATAATATTAATACTATTTATTGCACTCCAGATTCAACTTAAAAAGCTTTACATACATTATTTTTTTAAATTTTATATATCCTTTTATTGGTACATTTTAGGTATACAATACAATGACATTCATCATTGGAAATTCACACCTTTACATAATCTCTTGTTTCTTATTTTTTCCCCCTTCCCCTGCCCTCCCTTCAACCCCTCCATCCCTCCCTATTTACAAAGACTTTG